GGAGATATGGGTTCATTAAGCTAATTAATTCCAAAAGTTGAGTTGAAAACAACGTGATAAATAAATAAAACATTTTGACAGTACTGATCTAATTTTATTCGAACACGTAGCTTCGGCCTACGTAAATAAACGTTTTCCAAGCGTCTTTTGTTGATTAGTCCAAAAGGTATCCTTTGGTGTAACTCATACTATATCTTATTACTCCGTACTTAAATTTATATCGAGTAGGTCCTTTCTGGGGTTCTAATCTATTTTATCATTGGTAGTACTATCATTCGGTCACAAAATTTAAGAAATATATGCTAATAATTAATCCTATATTTTCCTTCTGGTGCTGCATTTCTATATCCCATGATCAGTGACCAAATTAGATTTATATTTCTCCATATTTGTTGTAGATTACATTGAAAAAGCACATAAAAAGAGGATAAGATTTCAAAATAGGATCTGTCAATGAAAATGTCAAAATGAAGAGAAGAAGAAAATCGATTTAAAATCAAGGGAGTAATATTTTTGTCAATTTAGAAAATAATAAAATAAAGAGAGACCCAGGGAAAAAAAAAAGAAGGAGCTAGATAATATAAAAAATATTATCCTCCAAAAGTGTAGTTCCTAATCATGATTGGCTAGTGATGCCAAATTGCCAATTAACAACTAATATTGTTGACCAATAAGTATTGAGCATTCTTACGCTGAGAAAAGAAATTTATTAGTACTAGTGTTCTTTTTGACACTAAGTCAATATTATTGGTGTTGATAATTTGAAGAAGCTGATTGGTACTCCAATAGAGTGGTGGTTCGATCGGCTATACTGTATGGGACTGAGTGTTGGCCAGTCAAGAACTCCAATCTGCAGAAAATGAAAGTTAGAATGTTGAGATGGATGTGTGGGTGTACCGGGAGAGATAAGATTAAGAATGAATCTATTCGGGACAAAGTGGGAGTAGCCTCCGTGGAGGACAAGATGCGGGAGTCGAGACTGAGATGGTTCGGACATGTTAAGAGAAGAAGCATTGATGCTCCTGTTAGGAGGTGTGAGAGGTTGGTCATGGAGAGTTTGAGAAGAGGTCGAGGTAAGCCTAAGAAGTACTGGGGAGAGATGATTAGACAAGACATGGCACTGCTTCAGCTCACTGAGGATATGGCCCTTGATAGGAGGGTGTGGAGGTCGTGAATTAAGGTAGAAGGTTAGTGGGTAATTTTTAGTTGTTCACTGATAGTCTTAATAACACGCATGTCCCTTCATATTCTTAGGTTTTTATTACGTTATGTGGTTTTGTTCGCCTCAGGTATTGTATTTCCTGTTGCTATTATTTGGTACTACTTATCCTTTATCTCTCCCTTTTTCTTTTCTCTTCCTTCTTTCTTCCTTCCTTGCTTTCCTCTTCTTCTTACCCTTCCTCAGCCGAGAGTCTATTGAAAATATCCTCTCTACCTGTATTAGGTAGAGGTAAGATCTGCGTACATACTATCCTCCCCAGACCTCACCCGTTGGGAACATACTGGGTTTGTTGTTATTGTTGTTGTTGTTGTTTGGTACTCCAAAGCCTAACCCACGCAAAAAAAAAACTCTCATGTTGATCTGTGTTAATAAAAATTAGTTGACTAAAATATGCTTTAAATATAGTATTTCTTTAATACACTTTTGGATTTGGCACATAGTAATATTTTTCTCCGTCCATCCAATTACAAAAGCCATGGATGAGTGGCTGACCCAACTTGAAGTATAGACACTGGAATTGTATATAATATTGTTCGTGGTGTACGGATTTTTAATATACTACTAATAAAACTTTTACTAGAAACATAAATCTTACTCTTGACATCAATTTTTTTTGCATGCAGTGTGCTTTTGCTGTCTTCCAATTCCTTTTTTGGAAAGGATGGAATCAAAGGTGAATTGATTTGTTACGGACCAATGTGGAGTCGACAAATAACCCAAGCAAGGAAGGAGCTTGTTAATAAACAATGGAATATAGTATTTGGTTTATTATATTTATATATACACGCCTGATCCAACCCAGACAAATTAAATAGGGAAAGTAACATTTTTTAATGCAAAAATGTTGGCACCTAAACATGTAACGTGCATGGTTTGTGTCTTGAATTCAAGTGAATTCGAATTGCGACCCACTTTATAAAATTCGCGGTGCGACCCAAAATTAGAAAAGAAATTTAGCGTTAACACTACTAGAAATTTAGCAAAAACCGACCAAGGTCGATCGAAACCGATCAAAATTGATCGGTTTTTCAAAATATTTTTTTTTTAATTTTATTTTTTTACAAAACCGACCAACTTTGATTGGTTTTCTTGGCGCAAAAATGCGGAAAACTATTTTTGAGTCCCGCAAAATTTGTGTTTCAAGAAACCGACCAACTTTGGTCGGATTTTCAATTAAAATAAATAAAAATTAATATTAAAAAATCGACCAAAATTGGTCGGTTAATTCGGCGGGTCATTTAAAAAAACCGACCAACTTTGGTCGGTAATTTTACTTTTTAATAAAACCGACCAACTTTGGTCGGTTATTTTCGTGCGAAAATACAATTAAAGAGTATAAATCAAATAAAAGACAGTCTTAAAACAAAATGTATCAATGGTCTAGTGGTAAAATAGTATCCTGCCACAGTACAGATCCCGGTTCGATTCCCAGATGGTGAATCTTTTTTATTATATAATTAAAATACCGACCAACTTTGGTCGGTTTTTTTTGTAATTTTTTTTTGAATTTAATTGACCGACCAAAGTTGGTCGGTAATTTCCGACCAACTTTGGTCGGTATTCCTTTCCGACCATAAAAATATTGTCCATACGTAAATGGTCGCGTTTTGATCGATTTTTGGCCATTACCGACTAACGTTGGTCGGTTTTTTTGGTCAGTTTTTACCGAATTTCTAATAGTGTAACCTTGTAAAGTGATACTTATTTCTTATGATGTGATTGTGTGTTAGTTAACCGCTTAGTATTCTTCAACAAAAACATATATACTATAAAAATGCTTAACAAGCATTTCTTTACTCTTCTCCAAATCGATCACTCTTGGCAGTGGTCCAAAATCGCTCATTCTAAATGTTACCATCTTTAATAAGAATATCTTTGGTCATGAGACAGCCAGTACTTAGCAGATCAAATGTATTTTAACCCTATTTATTATAATTACATTTTATAGCCATATGATTCGAGCTAAAAGGCATGGATTTAGCAACTGTGGATCCGGAGCTGAGATAGCAAATTAATATCTTAAACTACACCGAACAATTGTATACAGTAAAAATCGGTTAGTCCTTCGTACGAACTGGTCGAAATGGTAATGCATTGGATCAAAGATCAGGTTGAGGTCCGAAGTCAGGTCATCAAGCTTCGAGCCCTAGGGACCGATCAATGTCGAGCTCGATATCATTATCGAGCTTGAATCCAAATCGAACTATGATGAAGTTACCGAACTTACGAGACAGATACCGACCAACACTGTCCCCGAATCAATACAAGGCTCCGAATCAGAATCGAGCTCGAGTTAAGATTGAGAGCTCGAGTCGATATCGAGCTCGAGGCAATATCGAGCTCATAGACAAGAGTCGTTGCAACCGCACTAGGAGAGAGAATCTTGGCATAAATTATGGAAAAACTGATTCACTACTAGAAATCCGGTAAAAACTGACCAAAAAAACCGACCAACGTTGGTCGGTAATGGCCAAAAACCGACCAAAATGCGACCATTTACGTGTGGACGGTATTTTTATGGTCGGAAAGGAATACCGACCAAAGTTGATCGAAAATTACCGACCAAAGTTGGTCGAAAATTACCAACCAACTTTGGTCGGTCAATTAAATTCAATTAAAAAAAATATTGCAAAAAAAAACCGACCAAAGTTGGTCGGTATTTTAATTATGTAATAAAAAAATTCACCATCTCGGAATCGAACCGGGGTATGTACTGTGGCAGGATACTATTCTACCACTAGACCATTGGTACATTTTGTTTTAAGACTGTCTTTTATTTGATTTATACTTTTTAATTATATTTTCGCACGAAAATAACCGACCAAAGTTGGCCGGTTTTATTAAAAAGTAAAATTACCGACCAAAGTTGGTCGGTTTTTTTTAAATGACCCGCCGAATTAACCGACCAAGTTTGGTCGGTTTTTTTAATATTAATTTTTATTTATTTTAATTGAAAATCCGACGAAAGTTGGTCGGTTTCTTGAAACATAAATTTCGCGGGACTCAAAAATAGTTTCCCGCATTTTTGCGCCAAAGAAAACCGGCCAAAGTTGGTCGGTCGACCTTGGTCGGTTTTTGCCGAATTTCTAGTAGTGATTTATCATGGGTCTCCCATTATGTATTTTTAATTGTATCTAAAGTAGGATCCCTCCACTATAAAGGGATTGGTTATTATTTCTGTAAAGCATCAAGTTTTGTATACACTATAATTCAGATATCATATACTCTCATTCTGAAGAATTATCCTCTTTTAGCTTCATAGATTGACTTATCTTGCTCAACCCCTAAATCATACTCCTTTCAACTTTGCTTATTTTTTTACTTTTTACGGTCAATATTCTATATTTCTATTTATTTTTACGATTTGTGTCAAGTTATATCACATATGCTTAGAACTATATACAAATTCAACTCTATCTGTTTTTTGGGTAAAAAACAATATTTATTAGGGAAAAGTGACAACCTTTCCAATCAATGTAGCCTCTTTCTCATCCCCCCACCACCCACTATTATATTAACCTTCCCTTCTGCTTTCGGTATGTAATTAAAATGATTAATTAGTGACAAAACTATACTATAAAAACTGAATAATCCAACTTGCATCATCTCTCACATCACTCTCCCCTTGCGGCTGTCCTTCCAATTTTACAGATTGAATATGTTTCTTTTATTGCTGTGTTTAACTACTTCTTTCCCTTTATATAAGCATTTCCAGAATAGACCACCTACCATTAGNCACTTGCACATAGTTATGATATAATTTCTGCACTTTGTTTCTTCTGTCTCTGCCCACTCCTCCGAGGTCATGTGGCTTACTTTAGCAGCTAACAAGATCCTAGAGGACAGAGTCAACGATCAAGATTCACCAGCTGATGCTGAATCTTCAGTTGAAATTCAAAATTTCACGTATACATTTCTCTTTTATTTTTATCTATAACATTTACAAATTCTTCTATACACTTCCATTTTATCTTATACAGCTTCCTGTCCCTTTTGTTTTCCTTTCGAAAAGATTATTTGTTAGCTCATGGAATGTTGGAGGCATTACACCACCTTCCGACTTAAACTTTGAAGACTTGCTCGACACTCGAAACGAGTTGGCTGACATCTATGTTCTCGGGTAATGCTTAGTGATTTTATTATTGTAGCGAGTAAAGTTCAGAGTTACTTTAAGGTGACAAAAAATATATATTGTAACTCTTTTTTCTATTACATCTGAAATTAAACGCCAAAAGTTGTACTTTACAAATGTATATTAATAAACTTTTGTCAGGTTTCAAGAAATCGTACCTCTGAACGCTGGAAATATTATGGTGACAGAGAATACAAGCATATCCATGCAATGGAATTCTCTAATTAGAGCAGCTCTCAACAAGACTGCTATTAGTCATCAGAAGGCAGAGGCGGGAGAAAATCAAAAGGTTTACCCACTAAAAAGAGAGGGTTCCTTCACTACTTCAGCAACTAATAATTCACCACATGATTTTGAATGCATAATCAGCAAACAAATGGTAGGAATTTTTATTACCATATGGGCAAGGATTCCCCTACTTCCCTATATCAGACACACAAGTGTCTCCTCTGTAGGCTGTGGTATCTTCGGCTGTCTTGGCAACAAGGTACACAATCTTAAATGTCACTATTTGTTTCTTCTTCATAATTTATCTTATATATCTAGTCTTTGCTTAATTACTAATTTTGAGCCAATTGATCATATACAGGGTTCAGTTTCGGTTAGATTTTGCTTGCAAGAAACAAGCTTCTGCTTTGTGTGTTGTCATTTGGCTTCTGGTGGAAAAGAAGGAGACAAGAGAGAGCGAAATGCAAATGCCTCCCAAATACTATCACGCACAAGATTTCCTTCCGATCCATTTCACTGTTTGCCCAGCAAAATTTTACAACACGAGTATGTATATCTCTCGAATTTTACAATCAGTATAATTTTCTGGTTCTACAACTAGTTAGTAACACAGTAAACGGCTTAATTATGTTTCTTAAAGTCAGACATCCTGTTTATCCCCTGCAAGTTGAAATAAAGTAAATTAGCTAAAAAAAAACAAATCACATAATACTTTGTATGTTGTTGTTGTAGCTAAAAAAGGAATCATAAAAAATCTTTATACAATAGCCGGTCTTATTCACTGTTTAATTTTTCTAGTCATATACATAGATTATACATTGATTAATATAATTATGCACATATAATACATAAATTATGCATATATAATACATAAATTATGCATATATTATATCTTTATCAGTTATTTTTAGTTTAAGCGGTTGGGTGAACGACACGTTCGATTTAATTCTTAAAAGAAATTGAAACGGAGAGAAATTGTCAAAATGCTAACCGTTGTGTCATCATATGGATGCTTACTTATTTAGCAAATAAGTCAAATTTCCCTTTATTTTAGCACAACAAAGAAGATTTCACTTTGGAAGCAGTGAATTATTATTTATCAAGTGGTGCATATCTTGAAGTATTTATCTTCTAAATACCACAAAATTTGCTCGCAATGATTAGTATATGTACTATACTAGTACTATAACTTATATTATCTAACTGCCACAAGCTACGTAATCTCATGCAGCAGGGTAATTTGGCTTGGCGACCTGAATTACAGGATTTACTTACCTGAACCCACAGCTAGATCTTTAGTCAATGACCGGCAATGGAGCACATTATTACAAAACGATCAGGTATATATTCTAAATCATCAGCAATATCATAAGGAATTTAACTTGTATACTCTGTACACGGATATGTAATAAGTTGTTACTGTAATTTAATGGTCTGTTTTAGTAGCTGCCTACTTTATTATCCAAAAATTAAGCTAGTTTCACTTTTTATGATTAGTTACTTATAGTCATCCTTTAAGTGACCTGACATTGATAATGTATAGTAAATAATACTCCTAGTATAATCATTACTACTCTGAAGTTGACATTGAAAAACTTGAAACTGAAGCTTAAGGCTGAACTAAGAGAAGGCTGTACCTTTGAGGGATGGAATGAGGAAGAAATCGAGTTTCCGCCGACATATAAATATAACTTAGATTCTGATGATTATTATGGCTGCAATGATCAGAAAGGAAAAAGGGGAAAGAGCCGAACCCCAGCTTGGTAAGTGGCAAAAGATCATAATTTCTTTTTCTGTTAAATGTAAATTAAAGATCATGATATATTTTAATCTCAGCTTCTTCTTTTTTTGGTTGCAAAGATCATGCATGATTAATTCCTTTTGATGTGTCAAGATATCCCAAAACAAATAGAACTGCAAATCTACTAATAATAAAGATTGAAGTAATTAATTTTTGTGTAGGTGTGATAGGATAATATGGTTTGGGAAAGGACTGAAGCAAAGGCAGTATAATAGAAGTGAGTGTAAACTGTCGGACCACAGACCAGTAAGAGCAATTTTCACAGCAGAGGTCAAGGTTCAACGTCAATCTACAGAGGCTTCAGAAAAATTTGCCAAAATATTTGATAACTTGTGAAAATTTTCAAATCATGGCAATTGTGATTGATCATGGTTAAAGCTTGAAGAGTTTTCAAACACAAACAATAGGCTAATTTTCTGGTGCTGAAAAACGAGCTAAATTTTGGAACACCAACATAACTTTTGTGTGCACAGCAACGAAATGATCGAATTTTTTGGGCAAACTTCTTCTTTTTCTTTTCAAGTTTTTATGTAATGAAAAAAGGCACAGTTAGACGGGGAGGGATGGCCCATGTTGTAAAAGTACATACTAAGAAAAACACTTTTAACTTTTTAATAATGAGAATACCAAGGTGTTTACCTGCAAAACGGTACAGTTGAATTTATACGTGGTTTCTAGACAAGTGAATTAATTTAATCCTGAAATAATATAATAATCGAAGAAATACGCAGTACTTAGTCTTGGAATGTAAATGAAATAGCAAAGATAGTGATTCCATGAACACGATTTCCGAACACAGCAATGATGGGATCAAAAAGCAAGAGAGTGAAATTGTATAAAGCTTTGTATAGAATATAATATATGTTCTTGACAGAAATTTCGTGTCCTTTACAATGATAACTGAGCTCACTATTTATAACTATATCTAGGGAAGAAGGTCCGAGGATCGTGCCCTCCCTTAATGTCAATTATGAGGGTCATTGATGAAGATGTAGCATTGAGCGTAAATGCCAAATTCTTTGTAATGGACTGTCGCTCTCAATGCTCTAGAATATTCCTTAGTAAATGCTACCGGGTGCAGAGCATTTTATACACTTTTGTGAACGTTATTCGTTCCGATGACAAGCGCAGTGGCTGCGTTCGGTCCTCAGCCATTCCATCTTGGACTCCATGTGTCCTCCTTTTAGTCAGTCACGCGTCATATCATATTTTACCCTATACAAATAGTCCCCCTACTTTCCGGTGACATAACTTTGTGTTATCGGAAAGTTGGTAGAAATACCTTTTTGGCGGAAATTACTATAATTCCCTCTGAAGGTCTCTGACAGTTGATTACACGCACGTCTCTCCGCATTTAATGCCCCGAACATGCGTCATCCCATGATTCAGCACAACTTTAGCCGATTATCGTAGTACTCATGGCCATGAATTTAGCCGCCAAAATTTTACTTATACGCAACTTTCTTTTCCTTTGCGTTTCACAATTGCTTGAGCTTCTAATTTGCATCCTTGTTTTCCATCCCTTTTCTAATTTTCTTCAAACACAAACTCTTTACCTTCTTCCTTTCCAATGGCTTCTTCCTCCAAACGTGGTGGTTCTACGAAGAATAAGAACAAAACTGAGGATTCCGTTCCTCCAACAGTAGATTCTATTATCCCAAGAAGGCTTAGTATTTTCGAAGGATTTTGAATAGAAATTTCCTACTGCTAACCCTCGTACATGGGCTGTTAGTAGGTACCCTTCTTCCATTCGTTCTTCTAGTATTCCTGCTGTGAAGGAGGACTGCCGCTGCAATGAGTTAGAAATTATCGCTATTGATCTATCGGAGCGAGTGACCCTTTCCAAAGAAGGTTTTATATACTTTTTCACGTATCCCTTTACTTTTGGTGCGTTTTCTTTGGGCGAAGAGCTTGATTCCGTGATTGCGGAGTTTTGCCTTCACTACCAGGTATCTTTGGCACAGGTAAGTCCTTCAGTATGGAGGACGATCGCCTGCCTCCGATGCTTGTGCCAAGAAACTGGGGAGGCTCTAACCTTAGCTCATGTGATGAATCTCTATTCCTCCAAAATCTTCTGCGGGGGAATGATAAACCTTTGCAAGCGTGGCCACCATGCTTTGTTGTTTAGCATGGATGATGAAAACGACTGTGGGTGTATGGAGCGGTTCATTGCAGTTGCCACCAACGATATTATTCCGACAATGGCTTCATCCTTTCCGGTTTCTTGGAACCGCACTCGTAAGTTCTTTGTATAATATTCCTCTTACTAGATATTCTTTTGTGGCCGTATCATCTCTTCACCATTCACACATTTCAGCAACTCGATGGCTCCCACCGGTGGTGGAAGGTTTGAACAGTGGGTTCAGAAGATTTTGGATGTCACAGCGCCCGAAACCCATTCGTGGAAAGAACTAGCCCTTAAATACGGGTGGAAGGCCAAAATTCATGGTAACCCTAATTTACCTTGCTTCTATTTTTGTATATAAAGTACTTGGTTGAACCCTTCTGACTTTGTTCATAAATTTAGGTCTACTTGCGGGCTCTGTTGCTGTCCCCGAGGAGGACGTTCTGGCTAATCCTGCTGATGCAGCGAGGCTGCTTCAGGAAGCACTTACTCGAACAGGTATTTCCGGGCCTGTTTCGGGTGCAAATATTTCTTTACGGATTCCTCGCCCGGAGGATAAACAAACAAAGAGAAGACGCTCCTCCGCGACCGAGGAAAAGAATAGAAGGGCAAAGGTTGATGTTCCCGAATCATCTCCGGTGGCGATGATGACTGGTCCTCCTTCTGGGCCGGTTGACGAGGGAGCTTCTTTACACAGAAGGCGATGATCCTCATCATCTCAACAGGATGCTTGACCTATTGAGATAGTTATACCAACTGAAGATGATGTCTCGGCACTTTAGGGAGAGTCTGATTTGGTAAAATATGCCAACTCCCATTTTCGTGGCCCAATTGCTGCAACCGGTGCTGCAGGGCTGAGTTCTAGGTCCTTGCTGTCTTTGGTTGGCGAGCATCAAACCACCAGCACTACATTTGATGCAACTGCTTCTCACTCTTCGACTCCATCAGCTTCATCTCCACCTTCACCAACACCAGCAACTGCTACATCATTTCCATCTTCGTCTACTCTTCTACCAGCGGTTGCTACACTATCTCCATCGGCCGTACCTGACCATGAAGAAGGTGTTTCTCTTCCACAGTCCCCAGTTCATGGGAACTTGGGGCAAAATTATGCTGCTCCTTTTGAAGATCCACAAAGGAGGAGGAACATTACTTTTTCGGTCTCTACCGGGTGTAACCTGCTATCACGGTCGGTGGAGCTTGCTAATTACATGAAGCCTTCGGCTTCAGAAAAAGATTGGGAAAAGATTCAGACACTCTCGGGCGAGTGTTTGTTGAACAATACTATGTATAACGCCGCGACGGTACGTTCCTTCTTTCCTCTGTTATTTCTTCTACTTTTGAACGAATGTATTCTAAGTTTTTCCTCTTCTTATTTTATAGGCCAATTTTCTTGCCTCTTTGGGCCTTCAAAGGTTGATTCGTGAGAAGGAAGAACTTACTTCTGAACTGTATCAACTTTTGGCGGAACGAGACCAGACTGTTCTCCGCCTCTCGGAACTGGAAACTAGAGCTACTGAGGTTGCTGTTTTGGAGGCTCATTTGCAGCAAAGCGAGCAAGAAGTGGTAACCCTCAGCCAAGAAATTAGGCTGCTGAGAGTTAATTTTGATGAGGCCAAGGCCAAATAGGCGAAAGTCCAAAACGTTGTTCTTGCTGCAACCGAGCCTGAGGCTGCCTCCGCTGAAAGGGTGATTAACTTGGAGGCAGTCTTGAACTCCAAAAGCAAAGAGCTTGCTACTGTGGAGGAGAAACATGCCCAGCTAGAAGACAAGTACATGAAAACTATCGAGCATAATAGGCTATTTAGTTCAACTGTCTGCGAGCTTGACGTCAGCCTCAAATCTGCTAGATCCTCTTGGGAAAACCTCTCCGCCGAGGTTATTCAACTAAAAGAAGAACTTAAGCGCTGAGCGGCTTCCCTCATTGTTGAAAAAACGTATTCCATGTATAGCATGAGGAGAAAAACCTTGGAAGAGGCCAAAGCTGGTATTATTGATGTTGATGCCGAAATTGCTAAGGCCCGAGAGCTTGAGTTAGCTGCAAAAAATGGACTCCCAGCGCAATTTGATGCTCCAGGTTCTTCTGATTCCGGTTCCGAGTTTTCGAAAACTGAAGAAGGATCGAAAGGTGATGAAGCCAAAGGCCAAACTGGGGAAAGCATTGAGCCATCGGCGGAACCACCTACTCTTGCCGGCAATGCGGATACTTATCTTTCTCTCGGTTCCGGGGGCACTGCAATTTAGGTTTTTCTTTTCTCATTTTGCACTTGTAATGTTTTGGCCTGTTCTTGTAAATAGGCACATATTTTTTTCTTTTTGCTCAAGTGTCGTTTGAGTCTTACTTTCGTTTGAATATCCATGCAAGCCTTTAACTTTTGCATTAGCTCAAGTATTCTACGCATGTTGTTCAATTCGCGCTTTACTATGTGTAGTCTCAGATGCCTTTTCTTCGAAGCATTTTGGTTATGAGTATTATCCTTTTTACGTGCGGGTTTTTATGAATATTTGCACAAGTTTCCCTTTTACATGAGGGTCTCTATGAATATTTGCGCAAGTTTCCATATTACATGAGGATTTCTATGAATATTTGTGCAGGTTTGCTTTTTGCGTCCTTTTCATATGCGGCTTCGGGTGTATTTTTCCCCAATGGCATTTTGGATTCCGGGCATTGATTCTTCCGGAACTAACCCTTTAATGTGAGAGTTGTTATAAGAGAGGGCCCCTTATGTTTACGGTGCTCTTGAAGAGGACGTCTTATGTTCATTACAACACTAATATTTGAAGTACTTGTTTAACTTTTAAATGAAAACGTTAGCTCATCGTTCAGACAAGAAACAAAATAAAAGCAAAAGGATTTCATTTTATTCATTCTATTTTCAGAAATTACATAAGCATTTTGCTATGCAGAAAAGAAATTGCCATTACTTGTGGCTATCTTGTACAACTTATTTCTACGTGGCTCGTTGCACAGTCCCCGGTCCCGATGATGCATTTTGTTTCCGTATTTTCGTTCCCGGTTGATGTGGCAATCATTTTTGCCGTATCCTCATATCATTCCCCTCCCCAGTGTTTGAATGCGAAGAATGTGAATTGGAACACTCGAAGTCTTGTATCTTCGAAGGTCCCACCAATGAATTGCTAGGTAATCCTTCACTCGGTAACATATCTTGTTTCCCCTTAGGAATCCATGCTATCGAGCGAAAGAATACCTAACAGTCCTCTGGTGGTTTGTGCTCGTGAACGGTCGGGTAACCTCTGTTCGGTAGCAAACTTAACTTTCCGGTGGGAATTTGCAATCAAACCAAATATTACCTAATTGTCCCCGAGTGGAAGCTTGTTCGTTTGCCTTGCTATCAAAGGTCTTATTGTTGTTGTCTTCGTAGTATGCTTTTCGTCGCTGCCTCATTAAAAACCTTGCTAGAAAAAACTAATTGGGACAAAAACTAAACGAAGGGAAAAAGAGTGCAGCACATACTTTCTGTTTGAGTGTTGTTCATCA